ATACACGTATAAACCAAAAATGAAGAGATTTTGATCAATAACGCCAACAATATGTTCCTTACAAACTTTCTACTATTTTTCGCTTCTAAACCTACTCAAATCTCAAAGAAACCTCTATTTTTTAAATTTTTTTTAGGTTTTTCACATGTATTTACACCCAAATACAAAAAAGCGCTATCCAATATTTATTCTAATTTCCTTTCATATTTATGTATTTAACGCCCTCTTATGGATATAAATTGGTTAAATTTTGTAATTGAAAAATGAAATATAAGTTGTAATAAGCTAGTAAATATATTTTTTTTCCAATAATATTAAGTAAAAATAGAATTTTAAATTATTTGATATTTAATATCAATTTTTTAATTAAATAAAAATTGATTTATGTAAAATAAAAAAAATATTTTTGAAAAATTTTTTTTAAAAGATATTATATCATCAAATTATGATTGATTATGATTAATTGCTTTTTAGCAAGACAGTTTAGCAAGACAGTTTAGCAAGACAGTATTTAGTCATGCCGATATAAAAATATATGGTAAAAATAATTTGACCTCCTCCATTACTAATCATCATCAAATGCAGAGTTGTACAAAAGATCTTCTTTGAAGATTTTTGAGCGAGATCTAGCTCAAAAATTTGAGCAAGATCTTTGAAGATCGTAAAATTTGAAGATCTTTTATTTTTTAAAAATTTTGTGTAACGATCTTCAAAGATCTTCATGATATTTATTTTTTTACCCCTTTATTAAAAGCCCAGATGTTTTTCAATTTATCAAGGCAGGAGGAGAGGTATAAAACATAAAAAAATATTATATTAATAAAATTGAAAAACATCTGGGCTTTTAATAAAGGGGTAAAAAAATAAATATCATGAAGATCTTTGAAGATCGTTACACAAAATTTTTAAAAAATAAAAGATCTTCAAATTTTACGATCTTTTTATTTTGAGCAAATGTACAACTCTGATCAAATGTTCAAATTGAAAATATTGGGCAGGAAATTAATTAACTTCGTTAATAAATTTATCTTTATTATCTTCGTAACTTTATCGACTCAAAAAATGCGTATAAATAAGAAAAAATATCTCTTTTATTTCTTGCTAATACACCATTTGTCGTAAGTCTTATCTTCCAAATTTCTGTGTATTTTGTATACTTCGCAACGAATTCGCACAAACTGTGAATGCAGGGTAAAGGATATCTTTTTACTGTATAAATACTTGTAAAAATAGTACTCTTTAACGTTTATCTCTGCACTCATTACTAATAGAATTCACAAACAACGATCTGAATTTTAATAGTATTAAACAAAATTCTATGTAACTACTTGTATGAATAAACAATAATTTCTATGACTACACGAATAAGCTAGTTTAAGGCAACTCAGACCATTGGTTAAGTTAAAAAAAGCCCGATTAAGATCTTAGCCAAAATAATACTAGGTTGCCACCAGATTTGGAAAATAGAAGTCCAAAACTTTATACCGCCTATGAGCCAAATCTACAGGCTTACATAATATTATTTTGGTCATAATTTTAATCACGCCGTTTTTAGAAATTGATCAAAATCAGACCATTTAACAATAGAGATATCAATCCAACTTCAGATGAAGCAAAAAATGGATAAAGGGCCACTTATTGGAAATAAATTTAAAATGGGTATAGTTTTTACATAGAATTTATAATTATTTTTTATAAATACTACCAAACAAAATTTATAATAGTTTTTTTTGATCGGACAAACTAAATGTATTGTTTTTCAAATACCTTTTTACCCTATTATCATATTTATCATTTCAAATAAATGATTTTTTTGCGACGAGAGCTAAGGGTAAATAAATTTATAATATTTTTTTTAAAAATCCCCTTTTAAAACTTTAATAAAATGTATTAAAATAAGAGTATTTTTGTTCGGCGTTTTTTTTGTTCGGTGTTTTTTTTGTTCAGTGTTTTTTTTGTTCGGTGTTTTTTTTGTTCGGTGTTTTTTTGTTCGGTGTTTTTTTTGTTCTAAGGTATATTTGTTAAAGTTTACAATATTTATAATATTCAGAATAATAAATTGCTTGCATTTTTTTATTAGATGATTTTTACAAAAGGTCAAAGTTTTAAATGTAATAATATACTTTATTTTAGAAAATAAATAATTAAAAATGAAGTACAAAAGGGAATGGGGTAAAAACAATATATATACCAGAGACCTTCATGGGCCGGGCCTGGTTTTTGAATTTATTTTAATGCTTGGGCCTAAAATTATTAAATTATTTATGTTTATGTTTACACAGGCCCGTTGCCAGAATTTTCTTTAAGAGCGGGGGATGGATAATTTTTTTTATATTATAAATGATTTTTTTTAGGCGTTAAAAATTTATTAGATTAATTATCATAATTGAGCGAATTTTATATGGTTAAAAAATATTATAGCTATATAAACCAGTATGTAAATCACAATAAAATATAAAATTAAACATTCTATAATAATTTAAAAAGTTAGACAAAATATCATTCATAAATGAAAATTTAATCTTCTTATAATTTTTTTTTGTGGTGGGGATTAGATATCGATGATTAAAGTTAGTTTATTCAAATCAATTTTAAGATGTAATGCTTTTGATATATGTTTTTATTCTCTGTAATGAAGAAAAGGTCTCTCATTTGTGCTTCTACTAATTGGTATCATTACCAAAATATACAGTAATTTTAATATATTTGGAAAGCTTATAAATTATATTTACTATATTGGAATATCTATAAAAATGAATCTTTAATTGGTTTTCAGATGCCTTTATATCCTCTGAATAAATTTTAGCTAAATATTTAATTTCTCAATGTTAACATTTGATATATACTCAGATCAGAGGGAGTTCTGTGATGTGGTATTTATAAAATTACAAATCGTTTATTGATTTTAGTCAAAATTAAATTCGAAAGTTGAATAAAACGGTTATTTTATAATGATTCTCAATTGAGTCCACCTTAAAATTGGAACGATTTGTTTGTCGGTAAAGTCGAGGCCTGTGAATCTCAAAATCATATAATTTCGCTTTCACCTCAGCAATCACATAAATCTCGAGAGATTCCTGGTCGATATTATCTCTTGGTTTTCTAAGTTGTAATATAATAATATTCGTGATTCTCATAACTTCACCCAAATTAATATTTAGAATAGAATATAACCTATTTGAATTAGAATACTTTACAATTAACAATTCATGAAGACCTTGTATATATTTTCAAAATTCTTGGGAAGAGGATATTTCCCCCTTCCCCCAACTTGTTAAGAACCTGTGTTTACCAAAAGATGATGACACATATCTAGATAAAAGAACAACTAATATAAGCATTACTATCTTATTGTTAATCTCATTTTGCAAGCAGTAGCGTCACTAAAGGGGAGGTTTAGGCACAGTGGGTTCGAGCCCTCTGAAAAATTTAAGGAACCCCTAAAAATTTTAAACTAAAAAATGCATTTTAAAATATTAGCTAAAATATAATTCAGGTAATTTAAAAATAATATTATTGAACTCACTGAAATTGTAAGGCTAGTGACGTGACTGCTTATTATCCTGCCAATTATCACCCTCAAACCAAGGCGTCTCTCTTACACCCT